GGTCCTCGGTCTCTGTGGAAACTGAGAACCATCCACTTGATAACATGATCAAAGCCAAGCCTGACACACTGAGACACGCAGGCTGTGCCAGGATGGGTGAGCCAGTCCCCACTGAGCCCACGGAAACCTTGGGGACACGCTTTGAGATGCCACAGTATCAGGGTTGTTCTAGGAGAAATGAAATATCTTTGACCAAGCTCTAGTTCCGCCTTAGAACAGAAGGAAATCTTTCAGTGTGTGACAACACGAGTGGACCTGGGAGAGCTCAGGCTAAGGGAAATAAACCAGTGGCAGAAGTGTCCAATTACTGTGTGACTCTACAGGAAGTATCCGAAATCAACAAACTGACAGAAACGAGGAGTAGAACTATGGATGCTGGTGGCTGAGGAGGGCGAATGAGTTGCTAATCAGTGGTATAGATATGCAAGGTGAATACATTTAAAAAAAAAACTACTGTAGCTATTGTACTTACAGACAACTGAACATATTGTACATTTAAAATCTGTTTAAAAGGTAGATGTTGGGGCCCTCCCTGGTGGCGCAGCGGGTTAAAACACAGCACTGAGAATCTAAAGCTGCTTCAGCATGAGTTCGATTCCCGCCTGCCCCGGAGGTGACCACATGGTGTGGCAGACCTCTCCTGACCCGCCCGCTGCTCCCCTCAGCAGTGTACTTTGTCGATCTGCCTGTTCTGTTCCCCACTCTGTCTCTGGTGAAGCCTCTCACCACCCCTGAGCCTCTGGCCTGTACCCCAGTTCTGTATGCACAAATAAATAAATCTTAAAAAAAAAAAAAAAGTAGATGTCATGTTAACTGTTTTTATCACAAACAAATTTGGAAAGAAAGAGACAATTCCGGGCCCTCCCTGGTGGTGCAGCAGGTTAGAACTTAGCACTGTGAGGCTGTCAGCAGCCGCAGCAGTGTGTGTTTAATCCCCAGCCAGGGAGCTGACCCACATGGCGTAGCAGACCTCTCCTGACCCACCTGCTGCTCCCTGCAGAAGTGTATTTCACTTCATCTGCCTGATCTGCACCCTGCTCTGCTCTGGTGAATCCTCTCACTCCTGCACTTCTGGCCTGTACCCCAGCTCTTGTGTGCATGAAGAAAATGCAACACTCAGGCAGAAGGGAAATGTTCAGGGCCAGAGGACAGGCTCTGGCTGACAGCTCTGAGGCCCCAGCCCCCAGCAAATGTCATGCTTTGGGAAACATGGGATCGGAGTATGACTGAGAGCTGTTACTTTGCAGACCTCGATGCATGTGGCACTCTGTGGCATGCACAGAATGACCAATTATGACTCTACCACCCAACCACCAGGCATGCCCTGGACTGTCCTCAACTGCATGCCTGTGGTGGCAGCTAAAGCCACAAGACAGGTGGGCTGCTCAAGGACCGTCTTCTCCCACGTCCCTCGCTTTGAGAGCAGAAAGCAGGAGATGCTTAAGAAGACGCTAGGTCTCTTGATAATAAAGCATAATGGAAGCGTCACGGTGACTAATCAGAAAGGTAAACTAAGATATGAACACACCTGCAGCATCCCAGCCCTGCGCCAGGTGCTGAGCTTATGTCGGCCACCAGAGTCTGGGGAAAGGCAGTAAAGCACTCGTGCAATGTAACAATTCCTGTTATTGCAGCAGAAATAAAAGGAACCCGGTCCTGACACACTCCAGGCGGAGAGGAAAGCAGAAAGCAACAGGGACAACTGGCGAGGGAGACAGCTTGCTTCGGGGAAGGACTGGGAGGGTTTTAAATCTCATCTCACCCTCCCATAGCATTCGCTCTCCGGTGGACTGGCTTGGGGGCGCATGCTTCCCCATCACCCCAAGAGGACAGGAACCTGTCAGCTTCCCGAGAAAGAAAAACAAAGTCAAAAGGAAACGCTAAGGTTGTCCCTCCTGTTGGAAGGCACCAGGCAGGCTCTGCAGAGGCGCTGTGGACCTTGCGCTCGGAGGCTGTGGAGTGCAGGGAAGTTTTAATGAGCTTGAGCAGCTCTTTGATAGTAGCTGATGTGGAAAGGGAAATGGAGCATTTGGAAGTGTGAGCTTTCGAAGAGGATGGTTTTTAGGAAGATTTTCCTTCTTCCCATCGCTTCCCTTTGGATATTCAAATTAGGGCTTGAGTCATCCCACTAGGGGTGCTTCCCTGTTCTCTCTCAGTGTGTACGTACAGGTTGGGGCACCTGGCCTTGTACCTGGAAACCCAAGGCCCCAGCTGGGATGCTGTGTAACAGGAACTACAGAAGAGTTGAGAAGGGTTGGAATTGAAAGAAACTTGAAGAGAGACTTGAAGACAAGATTAATAAGATCTGATGAAAGCAAACACCCCTGTCTACCTAGCAGCTGAAATTACATCGACACATCCGACAGGGACAGGTGCATGAGGAGTTTTAAGTCTTGCTCTGGAAAGAAATTATGGGCTAAGTAACAAGGGGCGACATCAGGGGAGTCACTGATTCACTTTTCCAGAAACTATTCAAAACAGGGGATAAAACCTGTTTGTCATGTGGGACAGATTTTGTTCACTTGGTCAGACCCCTGGGGAGTCTAGGGCCTGAACTCCTGGACAGCCAAACCCCCATCACGGGGGATGTGGGGGTGGGAAGGCTGCCTGGACCTCCTTCAGCCCCCCTCACAGAAGCTGGGGTCCATGATGCCCCAACCTTGGAGTGACCAGGCATATCATCAGGTAAGGGCATTAGGCAAGGACAGCCTGCTGCCTCGTGTCCAATTTTGCCCCATCAGTTGAGTCTGTTGTCTGCTCCCAGGGCTGTCTTAACACAGTTTCTGGCACATCCCAACCTGGTCAACCAATCAGACAGCACCTGACATATTCCTGGTATCTGCAGTTGCTGTGGTCACCTCCCCTCAGCGATTTCTCTCTACAGCTTATCAGGAAAGCAATCTGATTTAATTAATTCACACCAACACTCCACGGATTCTTATTTTAGAAGAATAGGTCAGGTAATGTAAATGAACCACTCAGGATGGCTGCGAGCTGGCGTTGGAGTATCCCTGGACCTTGTGTACAAGATGAGCCTTGTGAGGAGAGAAGGGAAATCCCCTCCCCGTGCCCTGTCCCACCTCCAGCCACTGCTCAAAGGATCTGGCTCTGCCCCTAGCGCATGTCCAGGCTTCTGCGTGCAGCCCGCCAGCGAACAGAAGAGCATCTGACTGTGGTGACAGAGAGGAGCTCTAGTCATCTGCCTCTCAGGCAAGACTGTTAGTGGGCAGGGTGAGGAGCACCCCAAACCTGCTCTAAATGGGTTCTTTCACCCACCACATGAAGATAATACATGCTCTCAGTGTGTGAGACCCTCAGCAGAACAGAACTTTAAGGCAATCAGTGTGCAATAGAGAATGAGGGTGCAGTAGAGAGAGGAGAAAGGACAGTTTCCAAATGAAGCAGCCAAAGTCACCCATGCCCTGGCGAGGTGGCCTGAAGCAGGGCCGCTGAGGCTCGCAAGCCAGCACACGTCTAAGGAGCCTTTAGGTGGGGACCCACAGGAAATGGGCGGAAGGCGCCAAGCAAGTTTGGCAGGAAAGGCACTAAATCAAAATACAAATCAAGATAAAGGCTGCCACTGTCAGCCTCCCACAGGTCTCGCACACATGTCTTGGCTGAAAGCCTCTCTCGTGACCCCAAGTCCCTGGTACAAGTCCAAGGCCGAGAAGCAAGAGCGGCTTCCTCGCATGTCTCTCTGCTCCACCCGCCTCCTCCAGGCCTCCTCCTAGTCTTCCTCCTCTCCCTTTTTTCCAGTCTTTTTCCAGCAGCCCCTCTCTGCTCAGCTCCACCCCTCTGTAGGTGGGGCAGGGAAGCTGGAACCCCCCCTTCGAAGGATCTCAAGCTTACAGAGAGAAGCTAAAAGCCAGGTCTGCTCTTAGCAGAGCGATGCCTGCTGCTTGGACGAAAGGAACCTGGGGCTTGTATTTCAGGTCCAGGGGTCTCCAAAGGAGGGGTCTTTGGACCTGTTTCCTTCCATCCTGCACCCCAAGTGATGCTCCTCGAGTTTCTTGTGTATCCTGCTTCTCAGCTGCATACAGACCCCTGGTGGATGGGCCTCCCCTGGCTGCAGCTGTGTGGAAGCTGGTGGTCTTCCTCACAGGCTGAGGGGGTCTCAAAGGAACCCGGGAGAGGGTGGCGGTGGAGCCAAGCGTCTGGGGAAATCTGTCCCCGAGGCCCCCTGAGTCACCAGCCTTCCTGGCAAGGCCCTGAGTCCTCTGAGGTCTTCCTCCCGCAGCAGCCAACTCCGCTCCCCTGAATGTGGCACCAGGGCTCTGCACTTGCGAACACTCAGGGTCTGTTCACCCCAATTTCCTCCCTTCCATCAGCAAGTGAATTCAACCCAGCCCCAAGCTTCCAGAAGGACACACAGCATGTTATTGCCAGGCTCAGTAGCACATTAAAGAGGACCTTCTCCCTGTGCTGAGAGCACACCTCCATACTGCTGTGGGCGGGATTTCGGATGGTGAGGTGGGGTGGGGGTGGGGCCACGCCTTCCTCACGCTGGTGACTCAGTGGCGCAGGGTCTCAGAAGTTCTCTTCAGGGCTGGGCACAATTCAGCCCCTCTGGTTGGTGTTCTGCCCTCCACGCTCAAAATCCATCATATGTCTCCAGCCCAGCCTCTCCTGATTGACAGCCTCACACCCCTGGCAGGGCCCAGGGCTGGCAGAGTAGGCAGATGCCTTGGCGCCCCTTTGCCCTGGCCTCAGGTGAGCCTGTGTTCCAACTACACACCGGCTGTTTACCTGCTTCCAGCAAGGTTCCCCTCCCCTGCCACACCCCGCCACCCCCTCCAACACCCCCTAACCTTCCCCCACCCCCGCCCAGGTTAAAGACAACCGACACTCCGCCATCACAAGAGCCTGACTGGCTTGTAAAGAGACCTGTGTTAGGGCAAAGGCCAGTCTTTGGTCAGTACATCCCAGCAGCTCCTCTCCCGGGCCACACAGCCAGGCAGCTGCACAGGTGTGCGCCCCTGTGAGCCCCGCGCCGCGCTTACCTGCAGATGTAATTCGTCTTGCAGGAATCCTGCAAGTTGAGGCAGTTGGGCTTCTCCCGCTCCTCGTAGGAGCACACGGGCACGATGGTCTGGCGCCGCCGCTCGGTGCAGGCGATGTCGCGGCAGGAGCAGAAGAGCATCCCGTAGCTGTGCTTGGCCGGGACCTTGTCAAAGAACTGGCGCAGCGCCTTGTGGCACTTGCGGCGGTTGCAGACCTCGCTGGACATGCTGGTGGTGCAGGGGGTGATGTAGGCCGACCGGTACTTCTTGCAGGTGTCGTCCAGGTTGCAGGCTTTGGCGGCGTCGAGACAGTTGTTCCCCTTGGGGATGTGCTCCACTGCAAAAGAGAAAGGCGGGCGTGAGGACGTGCCTGGCGCGGGCTGCTCCCTCGCCCCTTCACACTGGAGACGTGGCCGTTCACCTGGCCGCGCGCGGTGCTCTGAGCCGCTCTGTTTTGAGGCTAAAAGCTAAATGAGTTCATGACAAGGAGAAAGTATTGGGCGGGCCAATATGGGAGCCCAGGGCAGCGGGCATGCCTAGCAGTCTCTGAGGTGTATAATTAGGAGGCATTGAGGAAGGGCAAAGGAGCTCAGGCACCTGCCTGACTCCACGTAAACAAGGCAACAGGAGAGTAAGTCTTCAGCTCCTGGTTGGTAAACTGAAATTAGGATAAAAGAAAAAGGCAACAAATTATATACTTGTTCATTATACAGTATATAAAATGATATGCTGAATGTAAGTATAATTGCCATGCAGTCCTCCAGGAATATAATTATGTAATAAATGCATATAGTTCATGCTAATTACTATATGATTACAGAGTAATTACATGGTTATTTGAGCCCAGAAGACAAAATATTATGCCAGGCTCTCTAAACAGGAAGAAGTGACTACAACAAAGCTGTATTTAAGTTCTAGCTCACAGGCCACTGGAAGAAAACCAGACTAAATCACATACATTTTGTAAACCTCAGTTACCACTTAACTTACGACATACGAAATGCAGGATCGACGCAGACTGAGGTGGCAGATTGGAAAAATTTAGCTAGTATTTTGGAAGGGATTTCAATGGGCTTATGAACGACAGGCCTTAGGAATCTCACAAAGCATATGCTTCTCTGCCAGCGGGCCCTGCCGTCCTGCTGTCAGAGAAACTGGGGGTTTCAGTTCAAAGACAGAGCACGGTAGTGGCAGAGCCATGGGGCGGGGGTGGGCTGGCAGGCTGGCCAGGGTCAAGCCCAACGGGCAAAGTTAAAAGAGGAGTGGACAGGGAAATGAAGCTCAGTCTGCACAACACAGGCTTTGCATGAGGAAGGGGAGCGACGGCCAAGCCTCCCATGGCCAGCTCATAAGGTGGCCCTGGGAAAGTGGACACATAAGGTGGAGCCCTGATCTTCCAGAAGCACAGCTGAGAAGCCCTGGACACCTGTGGGGTCAACCCCAGCAAGTTCCCGCTCAGGTCTCAGCCCTCCTTGGTCCAGGCACTTTCCTTTCATTCTCTTCGTGTCCTCTCCCCAGTCTGTGGGGCCATGAAGATACCTGGGGAATTACCGGAGGCTACAGGACAGACCAGAGAGGAGAAAGTGGCCAGGTGGGCTGGTGGGACCAAAAGACCAGTGATTTAGTATAAAAAGCGCAGGGGAAAGAAGGAAATCCCGCCACGTGTGACAATGTGCATGCGGCTTGAGGACACTGTTGAGATTAATAAGCCAGTCACAGAAAGAAATATTGCACAATTCCATGTATGTGAGTAGTCAAAACAGTCAAACTCAAAGAAGCAAAGAGGTGAGTGGCAGCTGTAGGAAGCCAGGCGGAGAGTACAATGGGCCTGTTCACTAGAGGGTTTAGGTTCCCCTACACACATGAAGATCTAGGGATCAGCTATGAGACATGACACCCGTGGCTAGCAAAACCACTGTAGACTTAAAATCTGTTGAGGACGGATCTTCTAGTACGTGTTCTTATTATAATTAAAATAAAAATTAAGTAAGTAGGGGGTCTCCCTGGTGGCGCAAGGGGTTAAGTCTCAGCAACATAAAGCTGTCCACAGACACTAGCCAGGGCGCTGACCCACATGACATGACAGTTGCTCTCCTGTCTCATCCACTCTCCCCTCAGCAGTGTATTTCAGTCAATCTGCCTGTTCTGCTCCCCACTCTGTCTCTGGTCAATCCTCTTATCACCCCCACCGCCACCACCCACACCTCTGGCCTTCACCCCAGCTCTTGTATGCATAAATAAGTAAATCTTTTTTACAAAATTAAATAAGGGTACACAAAAACAAGTCTGTGTTTCCTAGAATGACTAGCTCCCTGGTTCTACTGATTTGTGCCTTGACTTAAGACAACCTAGCATGCAAAAATCTGAAATCACAAATGATAGCCCGGCACACAAGTAGTGTCTTAGTGTGCTCTAAATTCAAGTTTTTGCCTAACATCTGAATCCAGCAATTTCATGCCGAAGGCTAAGATTAACGTGGTGTTCAGGCTTCTTGAATGAGCGTGCAAGAAACCAGCAGCTACACACACGACTGTTGGCTGCACAACCACACCTGGTACAGAGTCCCCATCACGAATCTCCTGCCCATGTTGGTCCCTGTTTCCATACTCAAAGTTCTCAGGTCTCAACAAGTGAAATATTCACCATGAGCCTGCTGGGACCATCAGAGCCTTCAGGCTTGGTGTCGCGTCTAGCCTTCTCCTCTTCTAAGTCTTGTGATGTGGTGCTTTAGAACTGAGGGGCAGTGATTTATATCCTTGAAGGTATAGCACTCTCTAAGAGATTTGTAACTTATGCATTTTTAATGAGAACCTAAAATAAATTAATATGATCAAATTCTGAATCATCTGGAGCAGGCCCCATCAGGCTGAATGTTGGTGGATGATTTTACTACCTTCCTTGACCCTCAATCAGGTGATGAAGGCTATGTTATGCTCTCTGGCCAAAAAGAAAAGAACAGAGACATAGAGGCGGACTCAATCCTTAAATAGTATCGCTAATGATGTAATAAACAGCTCCTAGAAGTTCAAGTGGAGAGAAATGGCAGAAAAATAAAACCTTCGTGTGGCATTGATTGGACAGGTCTGTCCCACAAAGGAACTCATGTTTTAGCAGAGGAGTCATGCTCACTGTAAGCAACAGTTAACCTTTAGCTGTTAGGGCCCTCCCTGGTGATGCAGCGGGTTAAATCACAGCACTAAGAAGCTAAAGCCACTTCTGCATAGTTCGATCCCCGCCTGTCCTGGAGGTGACCACATGGTATGGCAGACCTCTCCTGACCCGCCTGCTGCTCCCCTCAGCAGTGTACTTCGATGATCTGCCTGTTCTGCTCCCCACTCTGTCTCTGGTGAATCCTTGCACCCCCTCTCCCACACCTCTGGCCTGTACCCCAGTTCTGTATGCATAAATAAATAAATCTTTTTAAAATAATTAATGCTATTAACTTGTATTTCATTGTCTATAAAGTTTTGCTCAGACTTAATTTGTGTGCGTAAGTTGCTCTGGTTGTTGCATAAAAACAAAAAATTAGAACTTATGGTTTTTTATAATTTCAAATCAAGTTATAATAAAAATAATAACACCCGACACACAATATTTCTCTCTGAAAGCAGTTCTCAGACTACTTTGAGGTGTCATTAAAAATTGGCCTGAAAAAGTTCCTTGGTATGGGATCGTAGCACTCATTTTTTTGATATGACAGAAGCAGTAACATAAAAAACTAACAGTGCTGAGTGATTTATTTGAATGTTGCTGAGGGTAAATCCTAAAAGTTCTTACTCATCCCAAAGAAAACTTTATTTCTTTTCTATATAGAGAGATAGACATTAACTAAACATATTGTAATAATCACTTTTTAATATATGAATGCCAAGTTGCTATGCTACCATGCTTTAAACACATAAGGTATTGTACGTCAATTATATCTCAATGAAACTGACCCCCAAATTGGCCTAGTGTATGTCTGCTTTGTTACAATAATGCTAGCTTCATTTTTAATGTTGTTAAAAATTACATAATTAGTATTTTCTTCTTAATGTTATCTAAAAAGAAAAATCTGAAAAGAAATCTCTAGCAACTTTGAATAAGGTGGACTATCTTATGTCCAAACCAACTGCTCATGTTCACTCCATTTATCAATGGTTGTGACCCATTCTCAATTTCAGTTGATTCTGTTTCATCAATATATAACCCTGAGACCACTTCCTTAACATTATTTCAGAGACTGTGACAACTCCCCAATGTATAACCCCGGCACACTCAGAGAGGCAAAAAATCTATTAATTGATTTCAGCTCACAGGACAAAGTGTGATTTTCTTTTTGTTTCTGATCTCATTGTCATGACTCCTTCCAGCTTGATATATGAGGCCAGCATTGCCCCAGTATCTAAACCTAATGAAGGCAAAAGAAGGAAATTGCAAGCTAGTATTCCTATGACCACAGGCTCAAAAAATTAATAGTAAATATTTAGAAATGTTAAAAGTAAATATAGGCCATCCTAGAGTTTATCTCAGAATGCAAGGTTAGTTTAATACTTAAAAATCAATGGAATTCACTATATTAATGGAAAGAAAAAGAGCCACACGACTATTTCAACAAAGAAAAAAAAGTCACCAAAGTTTAACATTCCATTCATAAGAAAAAAGTGCTCAACAATTTAAGAAGAGAACCTGTTTAATCTGATCAAGGTCATCTAAAAATCATGCTTAAAATCATATTTAATAGTTGAAATAGTGACCATTTCCCCCACTAGAATCAGAGCAAAGGAAGAATATCCATTCATAACCTAGTGTTCACATTCGACTAGCCATGGCAATAAGACAATGAAAGAAATGAATGATATATAGTCACTAAAAATGAAGACATCTATATTTGTAGATGATTTGGAAAATCTTGAAGCATTTACAAAACAACTACTAGAACTCTGATGTTAATTTGTTAAAGTTAGTATAAAGTCAATTGTATTTTGATGAGCCACCAGCAAAAAAAAATTAGATGACAAAACTAAAAGTAAGATTCACTTGTTAAAAACTGAGCAAAAAGCATATAAAAAAACCTCTTCAATGAAAATTAAAAACACATTTCTATGAAAATTTAAATAAGTCAGTAGGAAAATATACCATGCTCATGGAGCAGAGAACTTAATATTGTTGAAATCAGTTATTCCCAAACCTTAAAGTGATTTGAAACTGACACACAGATTCTAAAATTTACATGTCAATGCATAGTCAAGGTAATTTTTAAAAGAACAACAAAATTGAAGAACATCATAATGATTTAAAGATTTACTATAAAAGTACCAAAACTAGCTACAGACAAATTAAACAATGGAACAGAAG